CAGGAGAAGGTAGAATTTCATGTGTTGCAATTTGAATTACATGTCCATGGAACATCTCTGGACATTACCTCAGGAGGAGGGGTTAAAAGAAGGAGGAGCTGTGACTAAAGACATTTAATGGCAGAATGAATGGAAATTCAAAGATCGCTGTGCAGTCAGCCTTAAACCCTGATTGCACACTGCTCCCCAGCCCCCAGCTCTCTTTTACATTAATTTAAAAAATCTTATTACAAAAATATATGTAATTTCATTTAATTTTAGTCACAAATCATCTTCAAAATGACGAGGATTTTGACAGCTTGCAAAGTGGTGAAGACCTTGAAGACTGGTTTTGGCTTTACTAGTGTGAGTGCACATCAACAATGGAAATTTTCAAGACCTGGCATCAGGCTCCTTTCTGTCAAGGTAATATTTAGATTCATCATCTGTGATAAAATTGTATGGGGTGTAGTTTAACAGTGAAGCAAAGGCATTCCTTACAAAGTAAATAGAGTTGAATATAGTTCCAAAGTGCTAGTTTATTCATGTCTGCTTTCTATAGCACTTAACAACTATTTAGCAAATGCTCATTCTGATTTCTTTGAGTAAAATTACAGTAACTTTTATCCAATGTAAAGAATGATCAGTTTATGTGAACATGTAAAATATGTGTGCTGTGTAGAAAACAAACATTTTATAAAAGCTGTCATAGCTCTATCTGTACCTAGACACTTGCTCACAGTTTGGATGAATAAAAAATGGAGTTGCTTATATATATGTGAGCCATGTTGCAATGTTAATCATCATGATTTGCTAAGCTGTGATGGCTCTGGGAAAGTTTTTCTCTTTTGGACTATCACTTTAAAAAATTTAGAAGGAATATATCTACATGATTTTTATGTTTGCAGGTCACTATGTAGACACTGTCTTAGATTTTCCTTCTTCCCTCTTAGCCCTTCTCTCAGAAGGCCATATTTACTTTTTTAATTTTGCAGATTAAGACATGAGGCAAGTAGCAGATGATAATTCTGTCTCTCCAAGTGTATCTGTAACTGAGGGAACAGGTCTAGGAAAAGAACATTAATCACCTTTCTCCTCCTCTCCTGCCTGCCACTGAATTATGAAATTCCTGTAGGAACCTCTGCCCTTTTCTTTCAACCTTATAAAGACATTTATTACCAGCAAGGTCTGAAGTTACTTCATAGGACCTTTGCCAACAAGAATCATCTTCAATGAATATAAAGTTTAAGTAATCACCGTAGCTTTAAATATACTGCTTCTTTAGTAGTAAAAACAAACCTGTGTCTAGTAAAATAGGTTCTAATTGTTTTTGAATGTTCTGCTTAGCCTTTGTTTGCTCCCTGGGTTAACTAAAAATCTTTCAGATGTTTCCACAGTTTATATGATTTAGGTTGCTCAAGTCAATATTCAACAGGGTTTTAAATTCTGACACCTGTAGGGCTAAGCAATGCCTATAGATGCTTATGGCCTGCAGGGATGGAAAAGGAGTGGAAAAGGAAGAGAAGGAGACAGAGAGAGATTGGGGGAGAGGGGAAGAAGGTGAGGGTGGGGAAAGAAAGAAAGAGAAGTATAGAGGAGAGAGAGAGAGAGAGAGAGAGAGAGAGAGAGATGAGAGAAAGAGGGGAAGAGTAGGGAGGTGGGAAAGAGAAAGAGGGAAAGAAAGCATGTCCAGTTAAGACCCCAGGAGGAAGGAGCAAATACATGTGGTAGCATTAACGTATGTGAACAACTTCAGCATTTCACATCAAGAAGATTCTAGCAGGATTATAAGAAATTGCCATTTTTTGGGACCAGCAGTTAGCGTAAGGGCTATGTCGCTGGACTCCCAATTGTCACCAAAGATATAGTACTGGATATAACGATAAAAGTGAATATTTTATTTGAATTTAGTGTTAGACATCTTCCCAGGATACTCATATATTACCTCAGAGATAATAAATAGTAATGCAAATAATGTCACCTTTGGTGATAAGTTCTTCTAAAACATCAAAGATGAGTCATGTGGAATTTTCTTTTACAGAAGTAGATAGGTAAGGGTAGATGTGTCTCTCTCGGATATCAGGAATAGAGACACTGAATGACTACTTAAAAATGGCATAGGTGGACCAACAGGTGGCATGATGGTTAGGAGCATTGGACTCCCACATGGTCAACTGTGGTTTGAGTCCCAGACCTGATGGCTTGCTTTCTCACTTTCTCTCTCTCTCTCTTTGTTCCTCTCTGGTCAAAATAAATAAATAAATAAATAAATAAATAAATAAATAAATAAATAAATAAAGTTAAATAAACTAATTATTTTTAAAAAATGGCACAGTTGTGACTGAGATTAGGAGACAGTTCTACAAGATAAAATGTGTTCTATACTACCAGAGCCATAACCACAACTAAACAGTCTAATTATGTGGATGGGCTTCTGTGAAAACAATTCTTCTAGCTCACGGTGGCAGATCTGTTTCAAGGGTCTGCCACAGCACATTGCTAAGAATGACAAATCTGTCAGAGAAATAAGCCATCATTTCACAGTATAAAAGCCATTACTCACACTCAGTTATTACTGGGCAGAGTTTTGGTGGAATGCCAAACATGAAAAATAGAAGTTCTTGAACGTCACAATAGTGAATTAAAATTCCATACGGCAGTCCAAGGGAACCTGTGTTATTATTCACTTATAATTCACTTATTCCTCTACCTCCTTTTCTTCTGTCTTCACTTTTAAAACTCAACTTTCTTAGAAAGACATAGCCAAATTTACTTTGTAAAAGATGAGCACCGTGTTTTAAAGACAGATAAAGTCATTAGGTTCATAACGGTCAGTGAAAGGCAGTGAGAAGAATCACTAAAGGTTGGTAACATTACAGCTAGTTATAGTAGTAAATGGATTGTAAAAGACACTCTGTGGTTAGGTCTATAAGCTTTTTCAATGTCTTTGAAGGTCACTTTTTTTTCTCCCCTGGGTGATAGATAGGGTGGGTCTGATGACGTGGTGATGCACTTGTACTTTTATATGCCCTTCCTTGCATGTTTATTACTGACTAATATTTATAAAGTGTGACTTGCAAATAGACACAGTTATATTTCACTTATAGGGAAGGAGAATTTCAAGATGTTCTTATAGGAAATTGCTATCAAGGGTAAAACTGATCAACAACCATAAAATTTTAAAGTTTTAGAGACCATAATCCTTTTCTAGTAGTACTGAAAATGTTCACTGCTCACCATTACGTTCAGCCAGTTGTAACAGTATGGTAGAAAACACTCTGGAAAGGGAATAAAAAGATCTACATTCTAATCCCAGTCATGCATTTCTTAATGCTCTGACCTTAATCAAGTCATATATTCTCTGAGCCTAAATTTTGTTACCTGTAGTGTGAAAAAGATTCTTAATGTATTCCAAGAATCATGTGATCCTCTTACATGAGCAATACTTAGAACCCTATAAAACACTGTAAAGAAGAAATTGGATTCTTTCGAAAACTTCTGTTCCATACATTTTAGTACAAGGACTTAGTAGATGATTAGATAAGAGTGTCCTCATATTTACCCTGGACTGCATATTATCACAATAACAAGATAACTGATAAGAAGTCTCAACTCTTTATACTGGTGATTCTTTGACCTTTGTTTTATTATTAAACCTATATCTACAAAGATATTTTTTGGGGCCAGCAGATTTGGTGTGATGGTTAGGGCTCTGGACTCGCCCATTGTCAATTGCAGTTCAAGTCCCAGACCTAGTGTCTTGCTTTCTCACTTTCTTTCTCTCTGTCTCTCTCTGGTGAGAGTATGTGTCCTATAGCAAGTTAAAATAACAATAAATTAAAAATCCTTTCAAAAAATAAAAAGATATTTCTTATAATGATTCAGACTCAAAGATCATGAAGCAAATAATCTTTTTTTTCAGTATGGTGAGTTCAAGTCCTAAAGGTAGAATGTACACCATAATGGGGGGGCCAGCAGGTGGTGTGGTGGTTAAAGGCACTGGATTCCCACATATTCAATCATGGTTTAAGTCCTGGACCTGGTGGCTTGCTTTCTCACTTTCTCTCTCTCTCTCTCCATCCCTCTCTGATAAACTGGAAAACAATATTAAAGTTATATTAAATAATTCTATAAAAAGGAAAAGAATGTACACCATAATATTCCATTTCATTTGTTCTTTCAATTATTCCTTCTTTAATAAATAAGTATGGAACCTCTATCATGAGAATATATGGGAATAATAATAAATAGAAATCAGTGGATAATAAATGGATGGTTTCTGACTTCAAGAAACTTTCAGAGTTAAAAATTCTGAATTCACAAGTCTTGGAAAGTCACCAAGACTAAATAGCTTTATTTTTACTTGCAAATGAATTTGGAAATCAAAGGTATTAAATGGAAAAGGTTAAGTTTTCTATGAATAGAAAAGAGTTCAGTAAGTACTACTTCTAACATTAATCCATTCATTTTTTAAAATGGTGACCTGTGTTACAATTAAGCCAAGAACTTAACAGTCCAAGTGTCCTTTTGGGTACTTCAGATATGAATGAGCCCCAGGAGTCATTATGCCCTTTGAAAGGCTTTTATTTTATAAGATTTTATATTCTGATTCCAACATAGAGGTGTCTATTTAGCTCAATCTTGAGCAGTTATTGTCATTTGATTAGAAATTGGCAACTACAATATCTCCTACAGTTATAATCATTTAGTTATACTGCAGTAGTTTTAAAGACATGCACAGAAAATCAAATTCATTGTTATATTGGATCCTTTATGTACATCTTACAGGTAGGGATAGTGTTATCACATACTTTTAAGAATATCTATTTTATTAGAATTTTTCTATGTACGGATATAATCTTAAAGGACTGGATTTCAACCATAGCTATCCACATTTTTGAAATGATAAATTGTGTTCTGATCTCCAATGAACTGTTACAGAATTAGTTTGGATGATTGACAACCGTACATATTTTAGTACATACTCTTTTTGTACTTGGAGAGGACATTCCTTTTGAATATTTTTATTTATGTTCCTCACTATTATATCCTCCCTTTTCTATAAACTCATTTTTTCTCATAACCAACTTTGGTATTTTGAAATAAATCTCTTAAAAAGCTGTAGGTCAGACAAGATCTAGCTGAAGGTGAAGTGAATGAGATACCCACAGTGCAAGATTTAGGAGGATCTCACTGTCAGGGCTGTGGTGTGCCTCCCCAGGGTTGTGTCCTAGGCACCTCACCTGCCTCACTCTAGTGCCAGCCCTGGGTCAGAAGCTAAGAATTCTGGATGAGGAAGTGCTTAAAAACTATCACTACTCTTGACCTGTGCTTCCTTCTCCATCTCCTTTGAGTCCCAATTTACACATGCTTAGTCAAACTTTTGGCTGGTCTAGAGGTGAAATTTTAGGTTTCACTGCTATGGA